ATATAAATATATAAAATTTATATTTATATTATATTATTATATATATTATATATATAATATATATAATATAATATATATAATATATATATATAATATTTAATATTATTAAAATATATATATATATATATAGTATATAATATAAATATATATATATAGTATATAGTACATAATATATAATAACATAGCACAACATAACAATAAATATAATGTATGATAATACAATATGATATGATATGATATGATATAATATATTAGTAAAATATATATTTTTATATGTATATTTATATATATTTTATATATATATATTAAATATATATAGTTATTATATATATTTATTAATATATATTATATTAATATATATATATATATATTAAATATATTTATTTACTTAAAATTATATGTATATATATACACATATATATACATATATATGAAACTGTACATCTGAGAGCATTGTCCCAACACTTCCTGAACCCTGCCAGGCTTGGAGCTGTGCGGAGGCTGGGAGGCACCGCAGGGCCATGCCTGGGCACGGGGCCAGGAGGAAACCACCGTCTTCCTGCCCGGGCGCCATGTCACGTGGGCTGCGGTTTGTGCACCTGCAGTGGCAGGCAGGCTCCACTCCCGACCCGCCGCGGGGAATAACGGCCCCTGGGTGACACGCTGAGAGCCAGGGAGACGCCTGAGGCTCTGGGCTGCAGCTCTGCTGCCAGGGCAGGCCCTGGACCAGCTCTGGCTGCTGCCGGGACCCCACAGGAGGCTCCCTGGGGAGGGACGGGACAGCCAGCACCCCCATCATGGGGCTCTGGCCCTGCCCAAGGGCCTTTCCCAGCTGCTGCTGCCAGCACCGCAGGGCTGTAGCAGGGGCAGGGGCTGGTCCCTTCCCAGCCTCACACAGCCCTGCTGCAGGGACCAGACCTGAGGATCCCATGGCACAAGGACGGCTGGACAATCGCACCTTGGGCTCTTGGATGCTACAGCTTAGGAGATGCTCCGTGCTCCCACAGCAGGCCTGCAAGGTGGTGGTCAGAGCCATCTGCCCCCACACACAGCCCTACCCCACGATGATCTCCACCGCAGTGACGTGAGACCCGCAGCGGAGCCGTCCCTCATATATGGTCATGAAGAGCGCTGGAGAAGTTCATTGGAGAGCTGGGCTGCGTCGGAGGGGAGATAAGTGCCGATAACTTCTAAAAGGTGCCTGCTGCTTCGATTGGCTCCTCCTGCAGCTGGGACAGCATCTGCACAGATATATTCTGCCCTCCCATCATTGCCATTGCCCCGTGGGTCCCCACGAGCTCCAGCAGCAGTCCGTGCTGTCAGGACAGGAGCCTCAGGATGGGGGCAGAGGGACTTGCTGTCCCCTTGGGTGCTGTGGCTGTTTCCTCTGGGGGCAGCCTTGCAGAGGTAAGTGTCCAGCTGCAGCTCTATGTTCCACAGCCTTGGGACAGTGGGCAGCAGTGGGGTCATGGGGACTCCCTCTGGGAGTGGGGTTGTTTTCAGGCACCACGAAATGAGAGGCAGAAGGTGCTCAGTCTCTCAGCTCTGTTCTTTAATCTGTGCCTGTCTGGGTGGAGGGGGTAATTCATTTTCATATCTCCCATGGTTTTGGCAGCCCAAGCCTGACTTCATTTCTAGACATCTTGTCCTTGGGTACTTTCTGGGACCCCCTTGTTCCCCCGCCACTGTGCCTCTGCATCTTGAGGAGTCCCAGACAGTGAGGGGTGGCCCTCAGTGATCTCCAGGGCAAAGCCAATGTCCCGGTGCCTCAGGGGGGGTTGTGTGCTGTTCCCTGCCCCTGGGATCTGGGGAAGCACTGACTCCAGGAGGGCAGGTTGTGTCCCATTAACAGAAGGGGACTGAGGCATCTGCACCGAGAGGTGTCTCTTCTGGGGGCCCTGGTCAAGCACAGGGGCCAGTCTGACAGCAGGGATGGGGAAGGGACGTGGGGCTGTTGGTATCCTTGTGGTCAACCCAGACAGTGGGTTTGGGAGGTGCCTGTGGCAGGACAATGGGCAATGGAAGCTGCTCAAGGGGCATGGGTCTGTTTGGGGGACACTGGGATGGGGAGGAGTGGAAGCCCTGTGCAGGGCTGGGGGCTGTGGGGGTGGGCCATGGGTGGGGGCAGGGGTCCACCGGGGTGGGAGGAGGTGGTGAGGGCTGTGGGGCAGCAAATGGCCCAGGAGGGCTAGAGCTGGGTAACCCCAGCCCAGCATAGCCCATGGGGAGAGGAGGAACCCCCCACTGCCCCTGAGACAGCCTATGGGGACAGGGATCCCACCCTGGGAACTGGGAGTCTGCCTGGGGAGGGGGTCCTCCTGGATACACAATGTGGGGCTCAGAACTCTCCTGACACTTCCTGTGTTGGTGTTTGAAGGGGCTGCAGAGGTGAGGCTGGCGGATGGCGGCAGTCGCTGTGCTGGGAGAGTGGAGGTGAAACACCAGGGCCAGTGGGGGACCGTGTGTGATGACGACTGGGACAAGTCCGATGCTGCAGTGGTTTGTAGGCAGCTGGGCTGTGGGGGTGCTCTCGAAGCTCCTGGATATGCACACTTTGGACCAGGATCTGGGCCCGTTTGGATGAATTCTGTTGGCTGTCGTGGAACCGAGTCTGCCCTGTCTGACTGCACACACAATGGATGGGGTCAAACATACTGCGATCACAGCTTTGATGCTGGAGTGACATGTTCAGGTAAGGACTGAACTTCTTCCCTACCTCTGGGATGAGGACACTTCTAAGGGACCTGGCTGTGACCTCAGGAAGCAACGAGTGAACACCAGAACATGGCTCTGTGTGTCAAGTTGCACTCTGAGCTGGGTCTGTCACTGCTGGTGTCCCTTGTCCCTGGGGAAAAACCCAGTGGGAGCACACCCAGCCTGGCCCTGAAGCTGGAGCAGCCAAGCCTGGGGAGGTGCCTGGCGCTGGGAGAGGAAAGCCCTCACCCTTCCCCATTGTGTTGCCTGGTTCCCATCTTTCTCCTCCATTCACCCAGGCCCTGTCTGGCAGGCTGGTCCCTATGCCAGGGGAAACTAGAGCAGCTCCCCCAGCCACCAGCAGCCTCAGGGAAGGGCGTGCAATGAACCAGGACTTTTGGGTTGTACCCCCAGCAGACAAGAGAACCTCAGCCAAAGCAGAGGGGCTGCTCAGAGGGCAGGAGCACTGGGCTTGAGCAGAGGAGCAGGGTGGCAAGTGACACCTTGTTTCTGTCCCGGGGTCATCCCATGAGAGGCAGCCCCCAGGGACACGGCCCCTCCAGGTTGTGCTGACCCACTGCTCAGCCTCTCCTGCCTGCCCTGTGCCCCAGGGGCTGTGCCAGCACCTCCTGGCTCTCCTCTCTGCCTGCCCTCACACCGGGAGCTCGTGTCAGCCCAGGGCTGCTCTCTGCCTGCTTTCCTGACCCATGCATGGTAGGTGGCTGGGGACGTGCATGCCCAGCACCACACAGTCCCTGCCGGAGGACCCCCCTTTTCGGAGGATCCCCCGATGTGCCCCATGTAACAGCAGCTCCCCAAGAGCCCCAGCATTCCCTGGAAACAGGGGGGCTTTTTAGCAGATCCAAGGATTTCTTCTAACTGGCCTGAGCCCAGCAGGCTGCAAGGGGTGTCAGAGCCATCTGCCCCCACACCCAGCCCTACCCCACGATGATCTCCCACCGCAGTGACGTGAGGGCCACAGCGGAGCCGTCCCTCATATATGGTCATGAAGAGCGCTGGAGAAGTTCATTGGGAGAGCTGGTCTGCGTCGGAGGGGAGATAAGTGCCGATAACGTCTAAAAAGGTGCCTGCTGCTTCGATTGGCTCCTCCTGCAGCTGGGACTGCATCTGCACAGATATATTGCCCTCCCATCATCGTCATTGCCCCGTGGGTCCCCACGAGCTCCAGCAGAGAGGCCGTGCTGTCAGGACAGGAGCCTCAGGATGGGGACAGAGGACTCCTGTCCCTTTGGGTGCTGTGTCTGTTCCTCTGGGTGCAGCCTTGCAGAGGTAAGTGCCAGCTTCTCTGTTCCACAGCCTTGGGACTGTGGGCAGCAGTGGGGTCATTGGGATCTCTCTGGGAGTGGGGTGTTTTCAGGCACCACTGATATGAGAGGCAGAAGTTTCTCAGTCTCTCAGCTCTGTTCTTTAATCGGTGCCTGTCTGAGTGGAAGGGGGTAATCCATTTTCGTATCTGCCATGTTTTTGGCAACCCACGCCTGGCTTCAATTCTAGACACCTTGCCTTGGGTACCCTTTTGCGACCCCTTGTTCCCCACTACTGTGCCTCTGGATCTGGAGGAGTTCCAGACAGTGAGAGTGACCCTCAGTGATCTCCAGGGCACAGCCAATGTCTGGGATGTCCCAGAGGGGTTGTGTGCTGTTCCCTGCCCCTGGGATCTGGGGAAACACTGACTCCAGAGGGCAGGTTGTGTCTCATTAACAGAAGGGGCATCTGCATTGAGAGGTGTTCTTGGGGGCCCTGGTCAAGCACAGGGGCCAGTCTGACAGTAGGGATGGGGAAGGGACGTGGGCTGTTGGTATCCTTGTGGTTAACCCAGACAGTGGGTCTGGGAGTTGTCTATGGCAGACAATGGGCAATGGAAGCTGCTAAGGGGCTTGGGTCTGTTTGGGGCACACTGGGATGGGGAGGAGTGGAAACTCTGTGCAGGGCTGGGGGTGTGGGGGTGGGCATGGGCAGGACAGGGTTCCACTGGGGTGGGAGGGAGGTGGTGAGGGCTGTGGGGCAGCAAATGGCCCAGGAGGGCTAGAGCTGGGTACCCCCAGCCCAGTGTAGCCCATGGGGAGAGGAGGAACCCCCCACTGCCCCTGAGACAGCCTATGGGGACAGGGATCCCACCCTGGGAACTGGGAGTCTGCCTGGGGAGGGGGTCCTCACGGACACACAATGTGGGGCTCAAAACTCTCCTGACCCTTCCTGTTGGTGTTTGAAGGGGCTGCGGAGGTGAGGCTGGCGGATGGCGGCAGTCGCTGTGCTGGGAGAGTGGAGGTGTGAAACATCAGGGCCAGTGGGGGACCGTGTGCAGTTACCGCTGGGACAAGTCCGATGCTGCAGTGGTTTGTAGGCAGCTGGGCTGTGGGGGTGCTCTCGAAGCTCCTGGATATGCACACTTTGGGCCAGGATCTGGGCCTATTTGGATGGATGGTGTTCAGTGTAATGGCAAGGAGTCTGCCTTGTCTGACTGCACACACAGGGGATGGGGTCAAGCAAACTGCGATCACAGCTGGGATGCTGGAGTGACATGCTCAGGTAAGGACTGAACTTGTTCCCTACTTCTGGGACGAGGACACTTCTAAAGGACCTGGCTGTGACCTCAGGAAGCAACAAGTGGACACCAGAACATGGCTCTGTGTGTCAAGTTGCACTCTGAGCTGGGTCTGTTACTGCTGGTGTCCCTTGTCCCTGGGGAAAACCCAGAGGGAGCACACTGAGCCTGGCCTTGAAGCTGGAGCAGCCAAGCCTGGGGAGGTGCCCGGCGCTGGGAGAGGAAAGCCCCCACCCTTCCCCACTGTGCTGCCTGGTTCCCATCTTTCTCCTCCATTCACCCAGGCCCTGTCTGGCAGGCTGGTCCCTATGCCAGGGGAATCTAGAGCAGCTCCCCCAGCCACCAGCAGCCTCAGGGAAGGGCGTGCAATGGCCCAGGACATTTGGGTTCTACCCCCAGCAGACAAGAGAACCTCGTCCAAAGCAGAGGGGGCTGCTCAGAGGGCAGGAGCACTGGGCTTGAGCAGAGGAACATGGTGGCAAGTGGCACCTTGTTCCTGTCCTGGGGTCACCCCATGAGAGCCAGCCCCTGGAGACATGGCCCCCTCCAGGCAATGCTGACCCACTGCTCAGACTCTCCTGCCTGCCCTGTGCCCCAGGGGCTGTGCCAGCACCTCCTGGCTCTCCTCTCTGCCTGCCCTCACACCAGGAGCTCGTGTCAAACAAGGCCTGCTCTCTGCCTGCTTTCCTGACCCATGCATGGTAGGTGGCTGGGGACGTGCATGCCCAGCACCACACTGTCCCTACCGGAGGACCCCCCTTTGCGAAGGATCCCCCGATGTGCCCCATGTAACAGCAGCTCCCCAAGAGCCCAGCATTCCCTGGGAACAAGAGAGCTTTTTGGCAGATCCAAGGATTTCTTCTAACTGGCCTGAGCCTTGTAAGGCAGAGCAGGCTGAAGTAGCCCCCAGTTCCTGGGCCTATTTCCCCAGGCCCACGTGCTGCGGGTGCTGCAGTGCTGGGTCTGGGGCCGGGCAGCCCAGGGGCTCCGGGCAGCAGCAGTTTGAGCGGTGTCTGCAGCTGGGGGCTTGGAAAAGAGGACATGGTGTGCTGGGCTGGGTTCTGAGGAGCAGCAGGGGGGCCGTGACATCTTTGTGTCACCAGCACCTTCTCAGAGCTGCTGGGCTGGCTGGGGGACTCTGCATGTGGCTGCCTTAGGGATGAGGTGGGCATGGAAGTGCCAGAGGGCTCTGGGAACTCACAGGTCTCCTTGGTTGCTCCAGGATTTGTGCGGCTGGTCGGAGGGAACAGCCCCTGCTCAGGAAGTGTGGAGATCTACGACAGGGACCAGTGGAAAGCTGTCTGTCACTCCCACTTTGGTGCCAAAGCTGCCGAGGTGGTCTGCAGGGAGCTGCAGTGTGGCACAGCCCTGTCTGTCCATGGGGCAGCTCAGCTGGGAGAAGGGGCCGGTCCTGTCTGGGACAGAGAGCTGCAGTGTGTGGGGAATGAATCCGTCCTCTCCTTCTGCCCCACGGAGGCCCCCAAGGACAAGGCCTGCACCCACAGCAATGGCACTCATGTCACCTGCACACGTAAGGACTCGCAGTGGGATGATGGCCACTGGGGTTGTGGTGGGGGCGGGGTGGGCACTGGGCTGTTCTGGGTGGGGACAGCTGGGGTGAGGTGGTGGTCTGCGGCCCTAAAATGAGAGTGCTGCAGGAGGAGAAAGGCACGCTGTCCCTTTGGCCTCTCCTGCAGCTCCTGTGGGAGCAAGAGCACAAATGTGGCCTCTCTCACCCTCCTTGTCCTTGAGTACACAGGGTTCAGGCTGGTGAACGGCAGAACAGCGTGTGAGGGCAGGGTGGAGGTCGCGGTGCTGGGGACATGGGGGACCCTCTGTGCCTCCCGCTGGGACCTCTCGGATGCCCACGTTCTGTGTCGGCACCTTGGCTGTGGCTTTGCTGAGTCCATTCCTGGAGGAGGGCATTTTGGGAGAGGAACCGGCCCCGTCTGGAGAGACTCGTTCCACTGTGACGGGACTGAAGCCCACCTGGGGCAGTGCCCGGTGACTGCCCTGGGGGCCTCGCCGTGCTCCCAGGAGAACGCTGCTGCTGTCATTTGCTCAGGTGAGTTCTGGGCAGTGCTGCAAAGTCCATTTGCCCCTGGTGTGTGACACGGCCACCCACAGCTTTGGACCCCACGGCAGTGCCTAGTTGAATTTCTGTTCTCACCAGGCCCGGCTCACCACATGTCTGTACGGTTGGTGGGCGGAGGGAGCCGGTGCGAAGGGCGCGTGGAGGTCTTCCAGCACGGGATGTGGGGCAGAGTCCTGGATGAGCAGTGGGACATGCAGGAGGCCAGCGTGGTGTGCCGGCAGCTGCAGTGCGGAGAGGCAGAGGCAGCCTACACCCCTGTGAGGGCCGAGCGAGGACGAGGACCTGTGGGGCTGCGTGGGGTGCGGTGTGCAGGGCACGAGGCTGACCTGAGCCTCTGCAACACCTCGCTGCCTCAGAGCACACAGGCAGCAGGATCATGGAGGACGTGGGGGTCGTGTGCCGGGGTGAGTGGTGCTGCACGTCCCCCAGGTGTGGGGCTGGGAGGGCAGCCAGCCCCTGACGGCCGGGATCTCCCCGCTGCAGGGAGCCGGCGGGTCCGGCTGGTGGACGGGGCCAGGCGCTGTGCCGGGAGAGTGGAGATCTACTACCAGGGGCGCTGGGGCACCGTCTGCGACGACGCCTGGGACCTGGCCGACGCCGCCGTCGTTTGCCGCCAGCTGGGCTGCGGAGGGGCCCTGGAGGCAGCCGGCTCTGCTCGGTTTGGGGAGGGCTCCGGGCAGATCTGGCTGGATGGCGTCAACTGCTCCGGGGCCGAAGCTGCTCTCTGGGACTGCCCTGCCGAGGCCTGGGGGCAGCACGACTGCAGGCACAAGGAGGACGCGGGAGTCGTCTGTTCAGGTCTGTGCTGGGAATGGGGAGGGGAGCTGGGGACAGAGGCCGGGGTGAGGGCAGAGCCAGGTAGGGCCAAGGCTATCAGTGGCTGACATCCAAGGACGTCCCTGGGGCCTTTCCTCCTTCCAGAGTTCATGGCCCTGAGGCTGGAGAACAGCGATGGCTGCTCCAGGCGCCTGCAGGTTTTCTACAATGGGACGTGAGGCAGCGTTTGCTCCAACTCCATGACCACCGAGACGGTGTCACTGGTGTGCAAGGAGCTGGGCTGCGGGAATGAAGGGGATTGGGAAATAATCTTAAACTCTGCCAAGCTGTCTGGCACCACATGGCTGGATCACGTGGAGTGTGGGAAGAGCAACAGCTCCTTCTGGCAGTGTCCCTCTCATCCCTGGCATCCGCAGTCATGTGATGACCTCCGAGAAGAGACCCACATCACCTGCAATGGTAAATCTGAGACATCAAGGCACCAGCTCCTGTTCCCCACTGGGAATGTTGAAATGCAGAGAAGAAACCCAGAGGGGCTTTGACTTCCTGCATTAGACCCTGTTGCTGCTGGTGGCACAAAGGTGACTTCAGCTCTTGGAGCCACCCATGTCCACCAGCAGCAGTCAACAGCCGGGCTGCCAGAAGCCCCTGGGGGATGCACAGGCATCTCCAGGCAAGGTCTCAGAGGAGACTATGCAGGGCTTTCAGGAGTCCCCCCTCCTGGGACAGCCTCCTGCTGCTTTGTGAACCAGGGACCCTGTAGGGCCGAGCACTTGGGTCCCCCCTGCAGTGCTGTGTGTGTCCCCTGAGTGAACAGGGTTCTGCTGCTGCCCTGACCCAGGCAGCATGGGGACGTGTGAGCAGAGGTCAGCTCTGCTCTCTTCTGCACGACCCCCAGAACAACCCTTTTCAGCCCAACTTCTCTTTCCTTTGGGACATGGACAGAAAGGCCACAGGTGGCTGCATGCCCCAACTCCACCAGCTGCACAGGTAGGGAGATGCCCCTGCACGTGCCCCCCTCACCTGGCAGGGCTGTCCCAGCTCTCCTGGTGCCATGGGACATCGCTGCCTCCCCAGACAGGGAGAAGATCCGTTCTGTGGGAGGCAAGGACGGCTGCTCGGGCAGAGTGGAGATCTGGCACCGCGGCACCTGGGGGACGCTGTGTGACAATGCCTGGGACATGCGGGACGCCGAGGTGGTGTGCAGGCAGCTGGGCTGTGGCCCCGCGGTCTATGCCCTGGGCCAGGCTGCTGCTGGAGAGGGGACAGGCCCCATGTGGCTGATGGAGTGCAGGGGGACGGAGCTGTCTCTGCAGGACTGCTGGGCCCAGCCAGGGGACAGCAGTGCCTGCCAGCATAAGGCAGATGCGGCTGTGCATTGCTCAGGTGAGCAGTGAGGCTGGGAGACATGGCTGGGGGCTTGGCAAGGAGCTGGCTTGGGCATCTGCCCTGCTGGATACTTGCACAGCCCCAGAGTGTTCACAGTAAAGGAGGTTCCTGCAGAGTAGGGGGCTGGTGGTGGGTGGGGAGCAGCCTCTGTGTGGCTGGATGTGCCAGAACGTCCCCTGGGCTGTCTGCACTGTCCTGTGAGCAGCCCAGAGCAGTGGTGCTGGGCCCTGTCGTTGCCACCCTGCTCAGCCCCACAGGAGGGACAATTCAGGTGGCACATGCTGGGGTCATTTGCCAGGGAGGCTGCCTGGTGCCACAGCCCCAGCCTCTCAGCCCAGCTCTCCTTCTGCTCCCCTGCAGCTGCACCCAGGACAGCAACACCCCCCCCACAAGCAGGTAAGCTGTCCTTCCCCTGGGCTGGGTCTGTCCATGTCCACGCTGTGACCCACAGCCAGGGGAAGGGGCTCCTTGCTGGGCTGTGAAATTGAGGGAGTTGGGAGAAGTCTGTGATAAGGGGAGTTGGGGTTGGAGCAGGGTGCGAGCTGCCCCATCACCCAGCCCTGTCCCCCCCAGCCCCTGCTACCGTGTGTGGTCAGGAGTGGCATGTCCTGCCCCCAACCTCTCCCTTGTCTGATGCTGCCCCTGCCATGTTCCTTCCCATGCAGATCCCCCACAGGGCCGTCCAACCACCAGCAGAGAGGGACTCTCGGTGCCTGTCGTCATCTGCATCATCCTGGGGGCCCTCCTCTGCCTGCTCCTGGCCCTCCTGGCTGGGCAGGTGCGAAGTGCCAGGGCTCGGCGCAGAGGTGGGTCCTTCCCCAGTGGTCCTGGGGGGGAGATGCCTCCTGGCAGGGCTGGGAGTGTTGGTGTCCTGGGGCACAGAAACAGAGCCATGTGCTGCCTCCTGCCCCATGTGCTGCCCCACTGACTGACAGACCATGGGGCACCAACATCAAGGGGTGGAGAGAGCCCAGACCCTGAAGCATCAGTTCTGGGGTGAGAAGAGAAATGTGAGAGCTGGTCTGGGTGAGAAGGGGAGGATGCACTGCTGGCAGTGCTCTGGGCAGCACTGGCAGGAGGAGCATGGGGCAGCGGAGTCCATCACCGTGGTGTCAGCCACCCCCCAGCAGGGCACAGGCTGTGCTATTGCTCTGTGGGGCAGAGATCGAGCAGCAAAAGTGGGTAGGAGAAATGAGGGAACTGGTGCAGGGTCTGCACTGGGACATGACCCAGGGAACAAAGGGGCACAAGGGCTGTCTCCAAAGGGATGGTGTGAGGCTGACTCTGTCCCAGACCATCTCCATGGGGATGCTGCCCTCCCTGGGGATGTGGCCTCAGTGCCAACACAACACAGTGGAGCTGTGCTGTGGGGACAGCCCTGTGCTGGCCTAGGGAATGGGGTGAGGGATCCCAGTGGAGTCCTCTCTGCCCATCCCCAGATCAGCCCTGCCTCTGTCCTCAGGCTCCAGGAGAGCTGGGGAGCCCTTCCCTGAGGCCGTGTACGAGGAGATCGCTTACAGCCTGGCGTGGGAGAAGCAGGCGAGGTTCAGTCTCTCAGGTGGGTGCAGGTAACCTGCGGGGGCACATCTGCTGTGTCCATTCTCCGTGTCTCAGACCAGGGCTGTGCCCTGCAGCTCATGCCCATGGTCCCTGAAATGGTTGGACCATGGGGTCTGTGGGACAGCATCCAGGTGCTGGCCCCCACAGAGGAGCTTCCTCCACACCAGCTCTGCCCATCCAGAGGGGACAGCCCCTCTCTGCTTGTCCCTGAACCAAGGACTAAGTGAAGGGCTTTCCCACGGCAGCTATTGGAGTTCCTCTGAGAATTGTCTCTTTCCAAGGAACTGGTCTCCTCCCCATGCACCCCCAGCTCTGTGGGTGCCCATCCCCAGCAGTACTGACCACCAGTCAGGGCAGCAGGGCTCATCCCACAGCACCCACTGCAGCTCTCTGCAGGCTCCTTTTCAGAGGGGTCCCTGACCCAGCTGCAGCCCTACCCCAGGCACATGAGCAGGAGGATGGTCTGGGGCCACACCCAGGGTAAGAGGTCGGGGAGGGGGGAGAAGAAAGGGCTCCATATCTCCTCCCTGCAGACAGACCCGACAGACAGCAGTGGCCACCGAGTGTTATCAACAGAGCTGGAAACATGAATGCTCTGCTGTGACCCTGACACCATCAGCATGTCAGCCCTGTGTCCCCACACACCCTCCCATCCTCTGCTCTGCAGGACATCTCTTCTCATTGCCACCACCTTCCCTCTCCTTTCAGATGTCCCTGTCCTGCCCGGAGGTTACCCAGCAGATGGCTATGATGATGCTGGGGAGGTTTCTGACCCTGGGGATGATCCTGTCCCTGGGCAGAGGGACTGGGAAGTGCCCAGGACACTAGAGGAAGGAGATGGGCGCAGGGATGCAGCCACAGGTGAGAGGGCAATGCAGCACTGCCACTTCCTAGGTGCCAATCCCAAGCCTAGGAGAATCCATTGCATGTTGAAAGCCTGACCATCCATGGAGAACCTGTCCTGGGAGATTTTGTGGGGGCTGGGAGAATGGGCCGAGTGTCTCAGGCTGGTGAAGACGAGGAAGGTGATAAACAGCCCCGAGGGGTATCCCACAGGCCCAACCACAGCAGCCTGCCTTGACTCTACAGTGGGAAGCCTGCGCTCCCGGGGAAGTGCTGGGGTCCGTGGAGCTGATGGAGACACCTCGTCACCTTTCCTGGGGAGCACGGGCTATGACGATGTTGAAGAGGTGTCTCTGGCACATCCCCATGAGGACACCCAGGATGTAACACCAGAGCCCCATGCACAAGAGTTGCAGAGCCCCAGGCCAGCAGAGCCCAGCCCTTCTGAGCATCTGGGTGCAGCTGGGAGGGAGGAGAGTTCAGTGCCACTGGGAGAGCCGTGAGTGCCAGGGAATGGTGTCCCTTTTCCAGCAGTCAGCAGACACACATGGGTATTTCCCCTCTTGGTATTCCCCTGTTTTTATGCTGTGTGTTGGTATTTCCGCATATTAAAACCCTGTGGGGGCTTTGCCCCAGATCCAGTCTTCCCTGACCATGTATCTGGGCATCTCCCTGAGGCTCATGGAGGGGAGAAGAGCACAAAGACGCAGCGGTTGGGAAGGGGCACATCTTAGAGCCAGCAGGATCGTGGTCTGGCTTTGGGGCTGACAGAGCCCCTGGTCCCTGGACACTATTCCTACTGACAGAGGCATTTCTGTCCTGCCAGCCACAGTCAGTTTCCAGACAAAGTGGATCTCTGGGAAGCCCCAAGAGACACTCCCTTGCAGTGCCCACCTTCTGCTGCCTTGGGCCCTAAGGAAGGGCCCATGGAACCTAAGGAAGCCTGCCCAGCACCCATGGGCAGAGATACCTCAGTTGCAAGAGGTGAACGGGGAGATGTCTTGGACCCTTGGCAGGACTTGGCACCAGCTCCTGCTGGTGGGTCCCCACAGCCCTCCAGCTCTTCCCCAGCAGGCTCCTCTGTTGCAGGCTGGGAGGTGCTTTTGGTAGTGGGATGGTGGGCTGGAACACCTATTGGAGCATCTATTTAATCCCGTTGGGTCATCTCTCCCGTTGGGTCTTCTCTGGGTGAAGAACTGGCTGGAGGGCCATGCCCAGTGGGTTGTGGTTAATGGAGTTTAGTCCAGCTATCATCCTGTTACAAGTGGCGGTCGCCCAGGGGTTGGTACTGAGGCCTGTCTGTTTAATACCTTTATTGATGACCTAGATGAGGGGTTGAATGTACCCTCAGTAAGTTTGCAGACGACACCAAGTTGGGAGGTAATGTTGATCTGCCTGAGGCTAATGTGGCCCTTCAGAGGGATCG